TTAAGGGCGGCTGGGTCAGCTTGAGACTCCGAAGTAGCCACTGCCTCTGACTGAGACAGGTTGGATCCCAACAGCTCCAGTGTCGTTTTTCGTGGCAAGACGAGATCCGATTGGGGGGAGGGGCGGGTTCCTTCGACCAAGCACCGTAGTCAGACAAAGGACCTGGTCTCCCACACTTTTCAGAAGCAAAGCCTTCAGAATTTGTCTTGAATGGTCGTGAGATACTGACCCGTGGGGGCCGCCCTGCAACACATGTCGACCCTTTTTGGGCTGGAAAAGCCCAAGACCAAAGCCAAAGGTGGAATCCAATGGACAAGTTTCCGAGAGCCGACTCTCGGGAAGCCGTTGCTCCAAAGTACTACAGACATGAGCAGCAGGAAAAGAGCCAGCTGGTGCAACAAAACGTGGGATAGCATGTGTTTGTGTAGGTTCAAAGAACCTGGTATTGACTGACGCCAATGGGCCAGATCAAGTAAAGATTCCCTGTGGCGTACCTCTTGTCGAGAAGCGGACTCAAGCCACGGCCCAACAAAGGGCCGTAAGTGTTCAATGACCTGCCCGGCTCCTGTCCAGCTGGGGGAAAATTTCAGGCACTCCATCCCATGCTCATTTGCTCCCTGAAAGCCAACAAATCGCCTTCGGACAACTGAGGCAAAACTGGGCTTGCAACTTCCCAAAGGATCCAGAAATGCTACATCTTTATTGTGGACTCACAAGTATGTGGCCGCAGAAGAGTCGTTGCTGCCAGGAGATGAGTACATGAGACGCGGGAACCTGGCGAAATCAAGGACGAGCTTCAATTGATTCAAGAGGACGCCAAGAAGAGCATGAAGCGAACCTTTGGCGGAATCCTTTGGAAAGCTGCCAGGGAAAGCTGCCGAGCGGCTAATTCATCTGGTTTGGGAGGACTTGCACAGCAACAGGCCTGGCCGGACACCCAGAGGCCCAAGAAGAAAGCCTAGCCCAAAGGGATAGGTATTTCTTAAAACCAGGCCTAAAACAAGCATTTTTGGATGAACAAACAAAGATTTTACTGAAAAATGGGGGGGCCTCCACAGCAACCCACACTCCCCGAAAAAAAATAAAAATGAGCAGCCACCAACAAGCATGGTTTGGAACTCACGGGCACTTTGCCGAAACCACTACCATCTCTAAGGCGAACAACGGTTCGCAGGCAATCCCCATTTCAACCGGCCTGTCGGACCCTCGAACCCGGTCGCAAGGCCAGACATGGAGGGGTCAATTGGAGCGCTCAGCTCCAAGAGTGATCCGTGTACTGAGATTCCATGGAAATCTGGAGCAAAATCTACCAGTGCCCCCTGGGTGTGAATTCAAAACCAATTGGTTTTGCTGTGCCATTTCCGCGCACCACTTGCATGGAACAATCTGGCCAACACCCGCACACCATCGGGTGTTTTGCGAGCAATGCCTTGCATTCAACTTGGGAGTAACTGGCCGAAGGTCCTCTTAGTCTCGCGGTGCTTTGGAGTTACAAGCTCCCTGCCAAAGATGATTCCCGCATGCCGACGGATGTAGCCCCGGCCCGAATTTGCCATCCGGGTGAGAGGGGCGCCATGGGGGAGATTGGCTTTGCAAAAGCAGAGTCCCCACAATGTCATCCAAACTAGCCTCTGTTGCCTCTGGGACCCTTTTGCCCGTCAGATGCGCGCCTAAGCGGCTGATTGTGCTGCTCCTGCTGGCCCAAAAGAGCCACACCCCAGCTTGGTTTGGGCATGACTCCACGAACGCCTCACAATCGGTTGCAAATATGTGCTGTCCTCTTGGCGTTCCCTCTTGGCCACTGGATGGGCAGCGTGTCACCCCATGCCTGTCCCATCCCAATGACCGTTGTGAGAGAGTCTCCCTGAAATCACGGGAAGGGGGGAATGAAGTGATGCTTCCCCGGAATGGTGTAATGGTGTTCCTCTCAAGTTGGACGCAGACCCACCTCTTAAAGACTGGCTTCAGAGTTTCAGACAGATTCGGAGCCCCGCAACTAGTTGGGTCGGCCTGGGAACCCAGGCAGGGTCCCATCCAAAGGTTGGAGTCGGAGCACCAAAATGGACTGCAAAGTGCATGTCCCAATTGGGGGGTCCCGGTCAGCTTGGCTTGAAGGCGCAGGTTGATCTCATGATTCAAACCAGAACCATGCACAAAGGCAGCAGTTGGCCCATCTTCCGGCAAATTGGAAGTACCCCATGATTCAAATTAGGCATGCCAAATGAAAGACTTGACCTTGGGACAAATCTGGCCGTACAAGCAAAGCACACCAAACCAAAGCGCTGCGTTCAAAGGACAAACTCAGCCTCACAAGCGGGAAAGGCCATGAACGATGGTCCAATGTGTCGAACTGAGCTGAGCCTGAACCTCACGAAGCAATCGCCTGAGCAAAGGGCGGATGCGAGCCATGGTACTGCGAAGCAACCTGAAGTCTTGGCAACACCCTTTTGCTGATGCCCGCCGCTCCCACTTCGGCCCCCTCCTGCCACTGCATTTGCATCATAAGCTGCTGCTGCTGCTGCTGCTGCTGCTGCTGCTGCTGCAGGTGCTGCTGCTGCTGCTGCTGCTGCTGCTGCAGGTGCTGCTGCTGCTGCTGCTGCTGCTGCTGCTGCTGCTGCTGCTGCTGCTGCTGCTGCTGCTGCTGCGGCCATTGAGGCTGGCCTCGGGGGACCGCATTCCGCATTCGCAAACCCGCGCAAAGAGTCCGAAGCTTCACAGCCCCTGCCCCGTGGCATGGTAAAACATTGACATGGGCGCAAGGCCACTCATCTAGGTGGCTTGCAATGGAGTCTGGGTGCTGTCCACGTTTGCTCCAAGCTCTGTTCCAAGCTCAAGCTTGCCAGAGGGTGTGCTTTGACATGGGGTCTTCGCGCACGTTGCTTTAACTCCCAGCCCTGTGAGACATTGATTAAGCCATGAAAAGGGCCACTTCTCATCCGACAAACTCCCATCATGCCCTATACATGCAAGAACCCTTGCCTTCCTCACAAGCCATCGGTTGCTTCAGGTGCCACTGAACAAATGCATAGTTACGAGTCATGAGTGGGCGTTTACCTTAAGCAGGTTTTGGACTCGCCCAAAACAATAGAAAATCGCTGTGCAGACTTTGCAGGATTCGAGTAGACCAAATACCACATCCCTTGGGCGCAGGCTCATTGCCTGCACTGGTCCGCTCCGCAGTCGGATCGCCTGGCAGAAACGATCGGGAGGTCGAAATTTCCACAGCTCCGCTACAAGATCGTGCAAGAGACACGGCGAAAAGCCGTACTTGCTGGGCAACTAAAAAAAAGATCATGCATGGAAACAAAATGCCATTGGGCGTTCAACAAAAACGGCGCTTTCGAAAGGATGGTGCAAAAATGAGACGACCGCAGTGGGCACGTGTTTCTGTCAAGGGAACGACGCCTGGGATGGCACCCTCTGAATAACACAACAGAACTCAACATGTGACCCGACGAATACTTAGCATAGGTGTCCTTTTAGGTTAGGTTGGTTAGAAACAGATGGCACTGGGTTAGATTGGTGTTGTTCCATCTACAGGGCCATCTATTTGTCCAAAAGTGCCGACGCAGTGTAGCGCAACCCGCCTGCGGCAGTGCGTAGCCGTACGCCATCAATCTGGCGCGGAAGGCAAAACGTGTGGCTGGCAAAACTTACGATTGCATTCTTGGATGCGGCTTCTGCCTGGCATATCAGAATCGCTAGCAGGCAACATGCCAAACAGTTGGCCGCTGGAAAACCAGTCTCTAGTCCATGAAACCGGTCTCAAATCCAAACTCGTACCAGCGCGTCGAAGGCCAAAATGGGCTTCACAGGTTTTCCAAAACACTCGCACTCTGGCGGTGAGTTTCCTGACTAAGTCTTCTCATGTTCTTCATGTTCTGCTTCTTGTGAGTGGGTATGAACCGACGATTGCCCGTTCAATCGACTTGGGGTCGTGGCCTCAGACGTGAATTCGCTGAAGACGGGGAAAAGTCAACTGAATGACGACGGCTTCATGCCGGATTCCCGTTGGATTCCTTCAAAGGGCAACAACCTGACAAGGTATTGATGAAGTGTTGACAAACTGAGCCTCACTCCCCCCCCCCCCGCCTTTGCCCGGACTCCATGTGGGTCCCGGACCTCGGCCCCGGCCGCGCGGACCCACTAGTGTCTGAAAGGAATAAGGTCATGGCATGTGATGGCATGTGATGTCAAAAATTTGTCAGTTGCTTGGCTTGCTTGCCTTCAAAAGGAGACGCACCGGGACAAGCGCATGTTCGCCCGTTCATGCTTGCTTCCAGGGAAACTCGGTGCCCAAATAAAATACTCAAGCACTCCGGTGATCGATCAGCGGTGTGCCTCTGACGAATTAAAAATTCCTGCCACCGTGTCCTCGCTTCCCTCAACCAAAGTCGAGTTTTGGTCGCTAAACCGACCGGCCAGCGGCTTCTAATTGCACTTTAAATGATGAAAGGATATACGCAAGATTTCCCGCAGCCCTTGATGTTAAAATGGCCATCCGAAATTAGGCGCTTTGACCACTGCTCTCGTCATATCAGATGCCGACTAGAGCTCGGTCCCCTTGGCGGCGATGCCCCGGATTCGTTCACAGGGATATGGTTCGTTTCCCACCCTCCCGAGTGGTTTTAGTTGACCTTCTGCAGGAATTTGGGCTCATGGATCCCACAGAAATGGGCCAAAACGTGGGGTCCCCAGCAAGGTACCCCAAACAGGTTTCAGGGTACAAACAAACCTTCAGTCAAAAACCAGATAGCCTCCTCAGAGAGGAGTCATCCATTGGATTGTCCCGACATACCCAAAGTGAGCATGGGAACCTACCAAAAAGCCAGGCTGCAAGGCCTGTCCACATTGTATGCCCTGAGACAATTCTTGGCAACTTCAGGCTTACAACTTTTCTTGCTGGTGCGATAGACAGCGAATGAGACATGAAATGACCGCTATCAACCATCCAACTGGTGGTTTCCTTTAAGGGAAGACGTTCATTCCCTCATTCCCTGCCCGCACCAGCAACTGTTTGGGCTCAACTCGCTCCGCGCGACTCGCAAGCTTGGGCTCCAGGGCACGTCGTCGTACTCCTGGCAAGCTGGCAGCTCGGACCGGTCTCTTCGAAACAAGTACCATGTGGCCATGGCTCAAAATCCAAATCGTACCCCCAGTAAACATCCCAGTCCCCACGAATAGGAACCTAAAATGGGTGGTGAATTCACCTACCAACCAAAATGATACCAAAACGGTTTTGACCACCACAGCCATGTGGCTCGAGGCTTGACCCCCCGACTCGGAGAGCCAAAATTCGGCCCGGAACTTCGCGCCTGAGGCTCCCAGGATTGGCTCTGGGCACTCGACCTCGGAATTTGGCGAGCGCACGGATGCTCTGGGAGCTTCAGATTCCGTGGGGCTCTACGGGAATTTCGGGGATCTAGGAATAAATATCATTCTCTACTGAAAACCAGCAAAATCAAGGAGAGACCTCAGTGCTTGCCTGGGGTCATCATTCAGCCAAACCTCTGCAGCCATAGGCGTCCGTTCCTTCGGATGCACAAGCACCCCTCAAAAGACATTCAGGTGTAAGTGTCAAAACTGATACTTGCCTAGTCCCCCCCAAAAAAAAAACGCAAAGAACCCTCCCAGCAGAACTCCGGGAGGTCAACCCCCGTCTTTTCAAACCTTCGCCGTTTCCAGAACTTCGGACAGAGCGAGCGCTCCGTGGCCCACACCGCAACTCAGCCCGCCAGGTCCTGGAGCTTCAGGCGGAATTCGGCGCCCATGCGGAATCAGTCGCTCGGGGGACGGCTTTTCTGTTGTTTCTTCTTTTCTTGGGGGCGGGGGGTGAGCGGGGGGCGGGGGGAATGGGGGGGTCCACAAGTTGCCTTTGTTTTCTTGTTGTTTTTTTTCGGGGGGGAAAAGGAAGGTGGGTCCACAAAAACCGGCTTGCAATAACACGATTTACAAGGTCTTCCCAACGTGGTCCCCTTAGATCCGAGAGAAAGGCGGTAAATGACTGTGGCTCGTTTTGTGCCACCATGATACCACGCAGAGCGAGATGCGCTTGCACCATGGGTTCAAGCGGTTTGTAGCGTGTGACCCGGCCAGCTGACCGAAAAATGGGCGAGGCCTTTGGCCTGGATGATTGCCCGCGCGTTGGCGCGGAAAAATAAGAACAGCAAAACTTGACCAAGCAAAGTGGGTGGGCTTGGGAGCTTGTATTGGCATGCTGCATGCTGCAGGTATAGCATCCTTGGAAGAGCAAGTAGCACCCAACACATGCTTCTGTGTTGCAGCGCACCTGCCTACCTCTCCAAATGGCCCGTTACACCCCCAATATCCCATCGAATCCCAACGCAGCTTTCAGACAGACCAACACAGTTTCAGCCAGGAAGTGGCCCAAAGTTCGGCCACGTCAACCATCCGTTCGATTATATTTATGATTGGGAGGGCTGGAACATGACCTCCTGACACGGGAAACCATCTCAGGAGCACCTGCGCCAATCAAAGCCTTCACCGAGCGTGAGAATTGAATGATTCCTGCACACTCGTCATGGTTGTACCAAATCTTTCTCAAGGTGCAACGACCCAAATACAGCCGAAACTACAGGCGGGCCACAAACTTCCCCAACGTTCAAAGCCGAACTGTGACCTCCGAACCCTGGTAAACCCTCAGAGACCCCAAGCAAGTCTCATTTTGTGGCTGAAGCCTGCAAGCCTCGAACCCATCCGCAGGCCTTCGACTGCGCGCAGGCTCTGGGATAGTGCGTGGGTGCGGCGGCAAGGCGGTGGCCTGGCGGGAAGGCTGCTGATGGCAGGTCTGACTGGTTCCAGGAGCAGAATCAGCATGTACAAACAAGAGGCGCCCACGCACTCAAACACAAAAACAAAAATACACACACACACACACACTGTGAAAAGCTCCCCGTGAGGAGTGGTGAAAGTTGCACATGCGACCAGGCAGCGCCTCGGTGTAGGCCTTCGGTGGATAATGTTACTCAGTACATGAGCCTAGCCTTTACAGGTTGCTTGTAGGTACAGGTAGTAGCGGCTCATTGTGCCAAGTCGCGCTAGCCAGTGCACAGAGGTATGAATTACCAAAAAAGCTCGCAGGTACGTTTTCCCAAGATCGGTGTGGTGGCGTCGTTAAGCAGAGACCAACACCGTCCTCTCTGTCCCCCTGCTGTTTGAAAAAAGCCTTTGGTCTCAGGCTGTGGCACACACACACACCCACGCACACCCACCCACCCACCCACCCACCCACGCACACCCACCCACCCATGCATACACGCACGCACCCGCACGCACGCACACAAGCACGCACGCACGCACGCATGCATATTCGCTTGTGCACGTGCCTGTGTATAGTATAAACATGTGTATCTCTCTCTCTCTGTCTCTCGCTGGTTGTCAAAATGTTGGCTCCCATCCAGTTTTGTAGCGTCACCTCTTCTTAGCTGCTTTGGGACGAGCCATCTGAGCTCTGAGAGATGCTTTCAGATTGCATTTGTTCATTTGCTTTTGGCGGCATGGCGCTCAGTGTCTACGACCTGACTTTCTACAACAGCCTAGAAGCATGGAAGTTGTTGTTGGATGTTGCCTCCAACGAGGCACGTGCTCTATTGTTCAGCTTGGCAACTTGCTAGCACGGTGCCAGAGCGGAGCCAGCGCGCGGAACAAAAGCAAACTTCCCGCCCTAGCGGCCCTAGCGCCGAGCCAGCGCTAAGCTAGCGTCAAGCTAGCGCTGCCGGTGGGATGTACATGATTAGGTGGGGCCCGCTTCATTTTTAAAAGGAAAAAACAACAAGGAATTAAGCACATACTGCAATAGCTTCTTAGCCGGCTTTTTCTGATCGGAAGCCATGTGTGTATATATATATATATATGTATCTCTGTTTATATATATATATATATGTATCTAGTTACACGATATGAAATATGCACGAACGCGTGTGTGTGTGTGTGCGCGTGAATCCTACCTCACTGTCCCACCATCGATGTTGTGTTGCTTGATGGCACGTGCGGTAAGTATGATCATTATTTGGATGATGAAGACAGGTGGGCGCCAGATTTTGCCTGGATACAGAATAGTTCAAATCCTTGGGCTTCTTGGATTTCAGCGCAAGATCTTGGATCTTGGATCCAGGCCAATTCCTAGGCCGACTTCCCAATCCAGTCACTCAGTTGTTCAGTGACCCTGGAAAACAAGGAGAGCGGGGAACCCAAAAACCAAGACGCCAAGCCAAATCCCACCGGCACACGGATGACCCCAGCTCATTCTCGGTGCTTTCTTGGAGCCAAATCTCACCGGCGCACGAACGACTGCGCGTCGTTATCGCTGCGCCTCTGTGGACCAAATCCCACCGGCACGCGGCCTCCAGCACCTCCCGTCACCTCGGCGCTGGTTGCATCCGCAGAAGCAAATCCCACCGGGACACGCCGCCGCCACCCCTATCCACGCCGCCTCCAAGCAAGAGCCCACCGGCACACGGATGACCCCAGCGCATTCTCGCTGCTTTCCTGGAGCCAAATCCCACCGGCACACGAACGACCGCACGTCGATATCGCTGCGCCTCTGTGGACCAAATCCCACCGGCACGCGGCCTCCAGCACCTCCCGTCACCTCGGCGCTGGTTGCATCCGCAGAAGCAAATCCCACCGGGACACGCCGCCGCCACCCCTATCCACGCCGCTCCGCCATGCGGCTGACCCACCGGCACACGAACGACCGCGCGTCGATATGCGCTGCGCTCTGTGCAAATCCCACCGGCACGCGGCCTCCAGCACCTCCCGTCACCTCGGCGCTGGTTGCAATTCAGCCGGCACAGTCGCCGACAGTCAAGGTCGTCCTGGCAATTCAGCCGGCAAGCCGCACGCGGCCTCCAGCACCTCCCCGTTACCTCGGCGCTGGTTGCAATTCAGCCGGCGCACTCACCGGCAGTCAAGGTCGTCCCGGCAATTCAGTCGGCAAGCCGCTCGTTCGGCCATTTCCCCGCCAGCGGCGCGGAAGCCCGACCACCTGCGGTATGCGGTATTTAGGATTCAAGCCAGACCATAAGTAAGTTAGATACTTCATTCGAGAAGTCGTTCGCGGACAAAGCCTCCCCACTTCAGGGGCTCCAAACACGGCGTGAGTAGCTCAGTAGCTCAGCCAGTCGGGCCGGACGTGCGCCCGTGCAAGGTGCAACACCCCAAATTCAACACATGCATGGCCATGTCATCAAAAGAGAAACCGCATGACTGCCATGTTCAGAGCCATCCGAGTCTACATTCTCAGCCGTATGTTTTAAAGATGCTTGAGCCACCATCGGTTGTTAACTAGAAAACCCGCCCTTGCTCTGTTCTCCAACAAGTCTCTTGACTACTCAATTGCCTGTGTCCCAGCTGACGTAGGAATGTGGCAAATAAGACCCAGCAAGATGGTTCCCATTGCAAGGGTGAGCCATGTTGGGTATATGTGGGCATTATCTGGCTGTGCGAAGTGGCTGAATTTTGAACCATACCCATCTGTTGCTTCAACATGGCACAAGAGATCGCCGTCCTGCCCCCTTGCCTGCGCATGGCTTTGAGATGCTTCCTGGGTCGCCACTTTCAGCTCCTGCGCGCAGTTCGCTGATGCAACGAGTAGCTTCAGAAGCTCACCAACACGGAGAGAGAGAGAGAGAGAGAGAGAGAGAGAGAGAGAGAAAGAAAGAGGGAGAAAAATAGAAGATGCAGGAACCACGTGGCAACAAACAAGAAATCCTCAAGGCTGAAACCTGTTGTCACGCCTACGCTGCACGCGCCGGATTCATGAGCGAGAAATCCATGAGGTCAGAACCCATGGTGTTGGCAAAACAATAGCATACCAGCTTAAACTTGACCTTGCGCATGCCGGGGTTGACAGAAAAGCTGAAGACACAAATACCCTGCACATCATCTGAGTCCCAATCAAAACCCGGTATTAAAATGGTCCACCCAGAACCATGCAAAGAATTAAGAGAATTAAGAAGGCGGCTGCAGCTATTTATAGTTGGGTTTGTCCCTTACTAACCTTCATCTACCCGGGTTTTGATTGTGGCTCATCTCGAAAACAGCGCATGCCAGTCTGTTTGGGGTTTGCCGCGGAAGCACGCGACTTTAGATCTCCCCTTTGCGTCGACGCACTTGCTAGATCCTTTTTGATGAGACTGCCGAGACTCAGTTTGGCCCCTCGCTTGTCACCGTGCAGCACTTGCAAGCTGCACAGTTCCTAGTGCCACCGCGTGTGCCAAGGTGCAACAAGCGCAAGTTGAACAGGAACTCCACAAGCCTTTTGCGGCTATGCGCCATGCGGCAGACCGAGTTTGCTGGCAACTCACGCAATGTGAACGGCCACGGTGTGATGGCTCATGGCCGCCTGCCTGAGGACGTGGCTGCAAGTGCTGAGGCATGTTGCTGGACCTGGGTAGCCTAGCTAAAGCCACGATTTCGCGAGAACAGCCCCCTGTTCCAATGGAGTAGCTGCGTAGCTCGGATCCCACATGACCCAACCTCCATCAGCCTTTCAACAACATCCACCACAAGCCAAGACAGGAACGCGTGCTCATAAACCAGCTAACCCTTGCAATAGACAAATAGAACCCGGAGTAGGATAAGCCCCTCATGCAGTAGACAAAACACCCACGCACCCCCTCCTCATAAAGCTCAAGGATGCGCTCCGAAGAGAGCTGGGACACCTCAAAGCGGCTTTGGGCGTGACCAGGGCACCAGGCTGCCCCCACCGGGGCCTTGAGGGATTCCAAGAGGGAGATGGCCATGGGTCAAAATCCCAATCCCCACTAAAATAGACTAAAATGGGTGGTGCACCCTTCCCAAAATGGTGCCATTGAGTTTGCCCCGCAGCCAGATCTGGAATGACCGGAGTGGCCTTCAATGCGCCAGGGCCGCAGGTCGCAAGTCGAGGTCTTTTGTTGTGAATCTTCCCCCCGGGCACAGGCAACACCAGCTCAAGACTACAGGACGGGCGGCTTGCGTCCAACAGGTGGCATCTGGGATCTGGGTGACACGGAATCCCCGGCAGCATTTCCAATCGACTTGTTGGTTCTACCAACATTGTAAGGCTTGAACTGACCGCTACAACTCCTTTACAATCGCTCAAGCATGTTGGCCAACTTCTTACAACCCCATTTACCTTGCTGGCGCCAACACCGCGTAAACGCGCAAAACTGAGCACTTGGCACGACTGGTTCGCGCGTATTCAAAGCAAAACATGTGTTTCGACTGCACGGCGCGGGCAGGCGGCAGTGTTGAGCAAACCGGCCAGGCACATTCGGTGGGCAGAGAACACTGGTCTAACGTGGCGCCGGGTGCTGGCAAAGCGGGGCCATGCTGATGCAGCAGAGATGGCGAGGCAGGCGTGTCTACAAGGGTAACTCCAGCTGGCGCCAAAGCAAAAATGCTCCTTGCAACACACCGCTTGAAAGCCTTTCTTCTAGACCACTATGACCCCCATCGAACGAGGGAGTGCGACCCTGGACACGTCTAGTTTGAGGTTGGAGGTGAACCTGTACCTTCCCATGCGTAGATCAAGAGGAAACTCGAGGGACCTGATTTACCAAATCGACCAACTGTGTGGCAAATAGGACTTCAAATGGACGACAAACCAAACCATGGTAGATTGTTGTGATCTAGACGGGTAAATTCATATCTGGAACAACAGCAAAGGAGGACAAACATCTACTGTTGGCTTTTTCTAGAGGAAAATGAGCAATCATGTGCTCACCCAAAAGCTAAGAAGCCAGATCTGCCACATTTCCGGATTTGCACCAGAGGATCCCGAAGCGCACTGGAGAGTGTGCGCTCTTTTGCAACCAGTGGCTATATACACCTTGTTGTGGGCGGCTTGGGTGTCAAGGATAAACCTCTTGGAGCACCAAAGCCGAGCCGGCCGTTTCTCCAGCGAACCCTGCATGGGCCAAATCTTTGCAAGGCCGCAGGCAGCCGGGCCCTTTCGGATGTGGCAAGGGGACCCGCGAAAACATCTGGGGAAAGTCCTCAGCTCGAGTTGACTTTTAGGTCTTATTTCTACGGGGGACCTCAAATATAGTGATTTCCCAAGCACACTAAAAAAACTGGCACCCTAGAGAAAAGGCCCATTTGCCCTTCTAACGTTGAACCAAGTTTTGATTGCGCAACCCTTTGCAAAGGGTGCCCGCTACCCCTGTTCACATTGGCGAAATCATGGTTTACAGGGTAGCAAGAGCAAAAGGGCACACGCAATAAGGACCCGTGTCACCAACCCACCAACCATGCTTCCCCTGGAATTCATAGGGCTGATCATTACTATTGATCAGCTCAGAAAACCAGAGGTCTCATGGTCTCAGTGCGAATAAGGCTTCTCTTTTCAAGCCCCAACAGGTGGGCCTGCGCCAACCGCCATCAACATCGACGCCATCTGGCGTCACGTGAGCCATCCGTGTCTCGGGCGAGCTGAGGGCAGCACTTGCCAGGCTCCCGACCCTTTCCTCCGATTTCTGCACTGTGAGGACAGCCTCGCTCTGTCGATGGACTGAAAGCTCTCCCACAACAAGCTTGTGACGTTGACGAAGACTCAACGCCAATTCCATGGGGACAATGATCCTTCCTCGGAAGGGCGAATCAGTGCACTTCCAGCTGGTTGGGAGAAGCTTGTTGTGAAGAGGGAAGGTCATGAGCTGGGGATTTGGGTCGCCCCTTGCGGAGTTGACCCTTCCTGAGTTGCTACAAGACCCACCAAAAACTCCCTGGGCCGAAGACCGAAGGAATGCGGACCCACGCATCTCAGGTGGTTGTCAGTTCTGTCACACAGACAAAACAACCGTAAACATCCATGCAAGGTGAAAACCGTGCAACAGTTGAAGCCACAAAATTCGAACCGCACGCTGAAAGAGTTGAACCATGTTCGGCCTTCACATGGCCTGTGCGCAGGTTTTCTTGCATGGACCGCCCGCGCCATCCGCGCCAACTCTGTTTCGTTTGGCAAGCTCCCCGAATGTGTGGCCTGTCTTGGAAAAGATGTTCATTGCCCTTGTTCAACATAAGCCATCAATGGTTGGAAACTCCCCTTGCGTGACTTCGTATGTTTGGGGGATTGCCCAGCCTTGATTCATTTCCAAACTGCCTCCACACTTCCAGTGGGGACCTTATGGGCTTTGATAGTGCGAAAGGGTTTGAAACAGAGTTTCGGGATGGATAAAACAGGCCCTAACCCACCAACAAGAAGAGACCACCTTATCCCCCCGGTCCCAAGGGCAAAGCAGTTGCCCCCGGCCGGCACTAACACGAACCAAAAGGGGTGCCTCGTTGTAACAAGAAGGAACCAAGCAGAAGCGCAGCAAAGCGCAAGGCAGGCAAGCAAACCAGCAGCAAGCAGCACCAAGCGAGCAAAGCGAGCAAGCGTGCAGAAGCAAAACAAAGCGCACACCACCGAACAAACAACCGACCCACAACCAAAGGACGTGCCTACCGCCGCGAGGCTCAACCCGCCCTTTTCCGGGAACGAGGTGAGCAGCGGCGCCGCAGGCTGCCGATGACGTTATGGCGGCACGGTTCGCCGTGGTGAAATCTTGAGCCAAATGGCGCATTGGCCATGGCAATGATCAAACATGCTATGATAAAAGTACATGCCCCCAAAAACACCCCCCTCGACTGTACAAAGAGAAGGAGTGAATTTGGAAAGGCGCATTGGCCATTTGAAGTTGAATAGAACCAAATAAGGAACAAAGACGACTAGACTAGGTTCGCGACCCCATACCCGGGCTCGCTTTGGAGCCCGGATCCCGCCACCACCCCGAATTACGGGTATGGGGCGGATCACGCCGGTAGCCAAATCAACCAAGAGAAACAAAAGAAGGAAAGAAACAAAGATTCAACTCCAAGATGGCAGGCATGAAATATCTGCGATGCAACCACATTGAATCGTAAGGTTCAAGTGGATTTAGTTTCTGAATTCGTGATTCAGGCGCTTTGGCCCATTGGTTGAAACATGGTGCTTCGACCACAAGACCGCGGTCTTTAAAGTAGCACCGTCTAGGCGCGCGATCACACAAAGACCTTCGGTAGGAATACCACCAGCTGCAATCAGCGGTTCAGGTCCGAGTAGAGCGTCACCGTCGGCGGTGCGTTGCATTCGTGATCCTCACCTCAGCATCTCGATGGGCTCCACCACCGGCTGCATCAGCGGTGCAGCAGGATGCGAATCACCAGCGGCCATAGACGCCGCCGAGGGTGACTGCCTTGCTGTGGCGACGCACACCTGACAGGTAATCGCAGCTTGCGCGACTAGCGCACAGCCACGCATGCAGGTGAATTCTGAAATGGCAAATAGCCAAGACAACGAAATACGACAAGGAGCATAGTCCATCTTGTGAATTCCGAAATGAAAGCATGCGCGCGTTGGCGCAGCTATGCAAAACACACAGATAGACTTCAAGTATTACCGATGTCGTCCGCCGCCGTGCCGTCCCTTCCCCTTACTGACATTCCAGTCCCCAGGGGGAGGAGGCACTGTCTCGGCCAACTCGTCATCATCACCCCATGTAGGGGTATGCGGCGAGTTCGGATTCTCGAACTCGCGGGGATCACCCTGCATATGCGGCTGCCAACCCTGCGGCATTGCGCCAGGCCACATTTGTGGCATCATGCCAGCCATGGGCTGATGCATGTATCCTCCCATTGGGAAAGTGGGATACATCGGACTCGGGAACGGGTAAGGGGCAGCCTGTGCACCCTTGTATCCCGACCCGCGAGCATCAGGCTGATACCCGCCAGTGGGAGTTCTCGATCTGGCGGATCCGCCACGACCGAACTGTCCTTGTTGGTAGCCGTATTGGCCACCCTTGCCTTTGTACTGATCACCCTTGTGACCCTTTCCTGGAAACTGGTCACCCTTGTGACCTCCACCCTTGGGCCAGGATTGCGCAGGGGCTTTGCCCTTTTGCTGATCCCCCTTTGACCTGGATTCAGGTCGCGGGGTAGCAGACCGATGATCTCCCCTAGGAGTGGCTGCCCGCCTGTGGTGCTTCCCAGTCGGCGGGTCAGCAAAAACAATGGCGCATTGGCCGTCCCGCTGTGCAGCGGGGACCATGTCAACCTTGTTGTCTTCGACATAAATGTATGCCTCAGCATACTCAATCGGGGCCGTGATGGATCCACCACTGGCCCGCAGAGAGTCGATACTCAAATCAAGAACAGTGGAGGCATCAAAACTTGGGTCCTCACTATTGAAGTCCGCGAGGCGTCGCTCAGCCTGCACCAATGACATTATGATGTCCGCGCGTGAGGCGCCTAGGCCATACAGCGGAACCAAATATCCGTCCTCAATTCCGATGCGGTAGGCATCATAAATATGCACAGAGAGGTAAAGGGCAAATGCTGAATTTAGACTGCCCTTTCTCGTCATATGACGACCCCATTGCGCCGCCTGTTGCGGGTGCTCGATCAAATATCTCATGACAGACATATTGTCGGGAATTTGGACGCCAGTGTTGCTCTCCTCGATGAGCAGCTGTTTCGCTACCCACCGCTCGAGAGCCTCATCACTCGCACGCACACAAGCGTGAGTGTCCTTTGAGGTGACCTTTGCAACCTCCTGAAACGCAACTTGCACGATATCCGCATTGGGATTGTGCACAAGGTGCGGCGCACAGCGCAAACCGGAGATCATACAGCTGACCACCTCGCGGATCGGGTTTACCGATGCCATGAGAGGAGCCCACACGTCAGTCTCCCCTTCATACCAGCTGCTGGCACGGACTGCCTTGAGTCCGTCCAACCAGACTGGCTGCCCTCTCCTAACTTGGGAGCGGATGGTGTCTGGCACCCACTCTCGATAGAAAATCGGCAAATGGCAACCATTGCATAGAATGGTGCCATACATATTCAAATGCGCGCACCGAGGGCACCAGTAGTCATGCATGGGAGCCTTGTCCCATGAAAATGACACCCCTCTCCGCGGTCCCTGAACATTCAACTCTCGGACCGCCCAAGGACGGATGTATATTACATCCCCTTCCTGGTGCAGATAGCATGCGCGCCAGAAGGGTGCATGTATCTCTTCCCGCACAGCAATCAAACCGCGTCGGGCTTTATAGATGCCGGCGGCTTCCTCGATGGCCATCCACTTTAGGTCAACGGCCACAACGACATGGCGCTTGTCCATGTATTTGACGCGATCGTCAACATAAAACTCGCCCTCACTATTGGGGCTTGGCAACTTGAGGAGAGGCACCTTTGCGCCCTCCAACCCAATCATGATCTCCCCCCTGCAGACCTGCTCAGGTCGCATGGGAAAAACTGTGATGGCGAATTTGCCGGGCCTCCGAATGCACCTCGTTTTGAGGGCGGACCGATACTCGGCCATCGTCAGCAGCACGTATCCCGTATAAGGGACCTCCGCTGCTCCCATCGGCCTAAGCAAAGGCCCCATAGGCGTTCGGTCACGCAGTGCCCAACGCTTGAAAACCTTGAACGGCACGTCCCTCCCGATTAGGGTGGAACGCGCAAACAGCACCTCATTCGGGCGCACAGTCGTGCCATCTCCCCTCCAGACCGTCCGTATTAGGAGCTCGACTGGAGGGTACGCTGGGTTCTCCTTCGCGAGAGAACCCGCCCAGGTCGCCACCTCGACACTCGTGCACTTATGGATCCCGTATAGGGCCTCAAAGAGCGTTGAGATTAGAGTCATTGACATCCAACCTCCCAGAATGTCTGGAACCGTCCCAAACAAGAAGGGGGCCGGCTCACCGGGCTTCACGTTCAACCGCGTTGGGTCAGTGTTGCCCGACAAAATTTCTAGCAGCATTTGCGACTCCCTGGAGCTTCGCCCAATCATCGCCGACGCATCCTTAATTTCGGGAAAAAAATGGAATATGTCGTTACCGGCAGGACAGGCGATTCTGCCTGCTGTCCCGCTCTGTGCATCAAACACAACCTCCTCACCCTCGTATGTGAGGTTGTAGGTGCTCGCAATCGGGCACACATCGGGCTTTGCCATTAGTGCCTCCTCTAGCGACGCACCAGCAGGGAGGACGCCCTGTACGTGCGCTTTGGTACCTATGGGACCAGTCCCCGCTGACATAAGCCGATAATTTTCGGCACGAAAGTATGGAAAAAGGTTCTTCATCCTCTCAATTTCCTCTTCAGTGGTACGCCACGCCTTTGCCTCATAGTAAGGCGGCTCCTGCTTTGAGGGCACTAGGTCGCGGTCGCCCATTGATGAGAACTTGTCCACATATGGACCCATCCCATCATCGTCTACGTGACTCTCGTGATCCTCATCCGAGACGTACTCCCTGGGCGGCTCGCCCAGAGCGTCCAGATCGACCTTACCAAGGTCAACCAACGCCGGAGAATCCAGGATTCTCTGGATCCTCATGAGCTCGTTTCTGAACTGCTCAAAGCCTCAGGTCGGCATTGCGCCCTCCCATGATTCTGGAAACAGGCACACATTCGTAGGGGAATACTCGTCATCGGAAATATCCCGATCACGCTCCCGTACATCGCTGATCAGTGT